CCCCCCCCCCCCCCCCCTCCACCTGCCCGGCGGGATCTATTCTGCGCGAAACCCGGCGCACCACCTACCCTGCGCCTTCTCGACCGGGTATACTCTGCGGGACCCCCGGCGCATCACCTGCCCGGCGGGGCCGTATCTACTCTTCGGGCCCCCTCTACCCTCGCGAGTAGCAACAGCCCGCAAGGCGGCGACGAAGACTGTGGAGAAAGCCTCCTTCCTGCTGCAGCCCAAGGCCGCCGTGAGGGCGGAGAACGTGGCGAGAGGTCAGACGCAGGTAGGTGGGTGTTCGGTTTGGCCTTGAACCGAAGAACACCGTCTTGATTTGGGGCTGTATACAGGTTTGTACTATTTTCTTGTTTGGTTCGTTGTGGTTCGCCTTGCTGTTCGGGTCAATAACACGACAGCTGTTTTGTGAGCTGTTGAGCTGGACTGTTCGGTTCAAAAATCACGTCGGCTGTTGAGCTGGGGAAACGTCACACCGCGGCTGGCTGTGAGTTGGTCCTGCTGCTTGCTTTATTTTCATCTTGCGTCACCCCCGTGTGGCATCTTATGCAACCTGTTGTGTCCTTGCGCGTAACTCTGACGCTGCCGCCGCCCGACCCGCCTGGCGCAGGTCGACCGCGCGGCTCGCCGGCTGAAGGAAGACACGAGGGATCTTGAGCACTTGAGCCAGGGCTGGGCCAACGCTTACGCCGACCTCTCGAAGGAGTTGGTGGTGAGTTGCTAGCTGCTGGTAGCCGGATGCTACTGGTGTGGTCTCAACCTTTCTTCTGATGACCCTTGGGTTGGCTGGGGCTACAGAGGCGGACAATGCGTGCTCCCCCCACCTGATGACCGGATACAAAGGGTAGGCAAATCATTTTGTGCGAAGTAGGAAGAAATGATTGGCCATCGTTGATCGGTCCCGTGGGACAATGCTCGATCCTCTCGAGAACGCGTGGCCAAAGCTCTAACCGCTAAGGCATGAAAACCATAAGAGTATGCCCCCCCCCTCGCCTCCCCCCTGCTGACCCCCTTTTGCCACGATCCCAGCTCTCCTACTCTAAAACTGAAAATCAAGAATGTCCCCTCCATTAAAAAGGCTTTTGAACTTGGAACAGGGAGCTAGCGAATGAGTACCCCCCCCCCCCCC